CATGACTTTTCAATAACATGAAATTTTGAATACAACAAGACTTTAGAGCTTATATTTAGAATTTTTTGGTAGTTGCAAATGTGGAAGATTTTAAAAGAATTTATACAATCATGTGACATTTTTTTAAGATCAAAATTTTTTTGTCATCAATCTTATCAACTTTTTTGTCCATTATCTATATAAAAATAACCATTGTTTTCTATTTTTATAGATTTTATTATAAATCTTCTAAATTCAAGTTTATATGATTCTATATTTGTAATCATAGATTGCTTCACTAAAATGACATATTTTATATCATATAAAAAATCTATTTCAAGTAAAGAAATAGCTAAGTTTTTTTTTTCAACATTTATTTTTATTATGGATTGTCAAAATATATTATATCAAATAAAAAGATACAATTTTTATTAAGATTTTTTTTTTTTTTTTTAAATATTGAAGATGGATATAAAATTATATTTGACCTTTCTTTCTCAAATTAATAGATAAATAAAATAGGTGAATCAAGTTCTAAAGTAATATTTGAAGTATACCATTAATTATCATTAAGATGATTGACAACACTTTTACCATTGGCAAAGTTTACGTATAATAATTTGGTAAATTTTTCTATTAAATAAATATTTTTTTTACCAATTATGGTTATTATCCATAATTTGATATTTTTGACTTTTCAAAAGTTGATAATCCTATGACAAAAGATTTAAAAAATTATTTATTAGAGCTACATGCAATAATAAAGGCCTAGTTAAAAGAAGCTCAAGAACTACAAAAGATCAATGCAAATTCCTATTACAAAGAACAATCATAATTCAATGTGGATGATGAGGTATAGTTACTTCATCATAATATCAAGACTACTTATTTTTGTGACAAATTAGACTATTATAGGCTTAAATATTTTTTTATTTGTAAATAAGTCAATCTTTTTGCTTACTAATTCCATCTATTAGATTCCATAAAGATTCATATTGTATTCTATATGTCTCTTCTTAAGCCATATAACGCAATGAATATCTTAAGAAGAAGATCAATACCACTTTTTTATATAGAAGTGGATAATAATCAAGAGTTTGAGGTGGAAGAAGTATTAGATTCAAAACGGCACCAAAATAGGTTGGAATATCTTATTCATTAGGGTGGATATGATATTAGTGATTGCACATGGCAGCCAACAAAAAACCTTATAAATATAGCAAAGAAAGTTAAGGCTTTTCATTGATGATATTTATCAAAATCAAGATGAAGAATAATAAATCTTTTCTATAAAAGAAACAAGATATAGAAAAGATAGCATTCTATTTTTTATTCTTATTTGTAGCTTTCGTGTATTTGTAGCGCTAATAAGATGGAAAACCAACAACATGTAAATTTAACTTAAGAGCTATTATTTGCTAACTTATTAAATAAAATATTGCAATTGTCACAACCTTCAAGACGATGTAATTGAGATGAAAATCTTCAAGAACAATATATATTTCCTCAAATAAATGGAAAAATATAACATGTTTGGTATCATAATCTTGGAAGAGATTTTCAAGATTTGGTGATTTTATTAGAAATAAGTTTGACTCCTAACAATGTTCCAAATGTTTTATTTGAAGAGAGTTATGAAGGCCTCAACTATGATCAAACAACATAGTAGTCTTTTGGTTCTAGTATATGACATTATCAATGGTTGAGAAGACCTATCAATTATCTTTAATAAAACAAAGATCAAAATATCTGGGAGATATAATTTGCTATATCTTTGATTTTATCAATATATGATGACCACTTCTCGTAAAACTTGTCATTAAAAGAAAAGCTAATATTGTGGACATGCATATTTATTCTAATAATTATCTATATCATTAAATAGAAGTAGATAAAAATTAATTAATTACCTAAAATCTTTTAAAAATCTTCTTAGAAGCTTCATAGATATTGATTTGACTTTATTCATGTTTATAATTAATTGATAGATTAGAAACTTGGTCAATAAATAAACCATGTCTTAGACGTGTTGATAACTTATGGAGCAAGCTAATTATGTGGCATACATATTGAAAACTTGCCTTGCAAGTTAAGACATGTGTTTAGTAAAGTCAACATATATTAGAGGTCCTATAAAACATTGCCACTTATCTCTTAATTAGATAGTATATATAAAAGCAAGAATGAAGCCTTCTTCACTCTTGTCAATATTTTTTTAGTTCTTAGTCTTGTTTCGATAATTTAAAATTAGTCTTATAAAAAAGAATAATTAGATGATTATATTTGATGCTATTATTCATTATATTATATGATATAATTCCGATTTAAAAACATTACATATTATAGATAACAAAAAACCAATATAGTTAGTTTTACCAAGAAATTGCATGTAATGATAATTATCTTTAGTTTTAAAATAAATTTATTTAATAATCAATATTTGTTATTAAATATTATTATATATAATCTATTTACTATTAATGATATGCCATTAAAATAAAAAAATTACTATTACATTTGATCATATATTAGTAATTATTTTAAAGTTTAATTTTATTGAATTAAAAAATGACACGTTTTAAAAATAATATTTGTATTTAAAAATATATATAATTTAAATATTTTCCATATTAATGAGAGGTTAAAAATAAAAAGATTTAACAATAAAACATCAAAACATAGATAATAAAGATAAAAAATAGACTACTCAAGAATATTAAAAATTAAATTTAATAAAAAATAAAGAATTAGAAATTGGTTTGAAGAACTTATCAAAGAAAAATAAGATGAGTAAACTAATAGAAGATAAAAACAATGATTTTGTCTAAAACATGAAGTATATATTGTTATAGGATAGAATTATAAAAAAATTAAATACATATAAGCTTACTATCCAACTATTGAAGATTCAAGAGTAATAACTACTTGAAATGAATCTTAGATTTTAGTTCTTATAATGTAGTTTTTAGTCTATTGACATGGACTTTCTTGTACAAACATACTAACAACTAGCTTAGTTGCTAAGGTTCAATTAATATATGGACACTTGACTTATTAGGCAACATAATGGCTTAATAGATGGCTATAACTATATATTGACTACCAACCAATATGGCAGCTATAAGTTATAAATTGATAATGTAATTTCAATTGTCTACATAGGTAATCACATAATATCTAATATATATATATATATATATATATATATACATTCTTTTAAAAAAAATTGATTTGAAAAAATATTTATAATATGACTTTATAGATGATAGTGAAAATAACATAGAATTAAGTGATTTATAATCTAAAAATAAAAATATTATAAAATATCAAATCTAATTTATTTTTAAAATTATAAATAATAGATAGAGGAAAAAAAATTTTAGTTAAAAAAAAAGAATGCTAAGTTGTGGCTAATGCTAATAATGTATAAATATAAATTACAATTAGTTATAGATAAAATTGTAGAAGTTGATTGAATTGAGGTAATATATAGGATAATAATCCATTCAAATACAAATAATTTCTAAGAAAATAGGTTTTTTTATTTATTTTTAATTAATCTTACTTGGCATTATACAACAACTAATTTTTCAAAGTTAAAAAAAAAGTTTATTAATTATATGATTAAAAAATACCTAAATATATATATAAAGTATAATTTTTTAAAATTAATATAAATTAATATTTTAATGACACAACTTTGTAAATTGTAACATTGATAATTATTTGTTATATGCACATTTATGCTTGTATAAAAAATATAAGTAAATAAAAAAATAAAAAATAAACTATATATATTTAGTTGATGTATAAATTAATCAAAAGAAAGGACAATTAAAAAGATTGTATTATAGATTTAATCAATTACATTCTTTATGATTCTACAATAATAACATAAAATAAGTATAATTGTTTTTTTAATAATATACAACCTAATTCTACTTCTAATAATACATCTAAAATAATAAATTTGTCTATGAAGATTAATTTGGAAGATTTAAAAAAATATTAATTTTTTAAAGAATATATATGTATATTTTTTTGAAATTAAACATGGAGATATGAACTAATTATCTTATTATCACTACTCTTTAAATATAAATGTTTTATTATTTTTACTCTTTGAATATAAATATTTTTTTATTGCAAAAAAAAATATCTTGTCAAACACTTGTATAAAAAAGACAAAAAAAATTAATTCTACAAATATTGAATATATAAAATATATGATAAGAATTTTTTATTATACACAAGTAAGAAGAATTTGGTTACTTAAGGATACATATATAGAGAAATACAAATGAATTCAAAAAGAACATATGTCCTCTTCACTCATACTTCCTTGTATATGTCTATACTAATCTTTATCCAACTTCTTTTCCAAATCTTTTTTTCTTCTCGTATTTATACAAAAATAAATTTATTAAGTTTAATTTTTGATATGAATAAAAGATTCAATATTTTTCTCTATAATGTTTGATAAAAAAATAAAAACAAATATACCAAACTTGGACTTTCAAAATTTATATAAATATATGTATGTATATATTTATATGCATATACACACACACACAATTATTTCTGTCAAAGAGGTTATTGTCAGAATTTGTGTTCCAATTCCATTCTGCACTGTTTAGTAAAAACAGTCCATGCTAATATTGTATCAAACATGGAAGCATTGAAATAACATTGCCCAACAGGTTCCTTGGAAGCAGCTTTTGGTGATGAGGGTGGTATCAAACAAGATGAAAAAACAATCTTGCATATAAATAGATGGACAAGAAGGAGTTCCACAGCTACTAAAATAACAGGAGCAAAGTATGAAAGGGAGAGAGAAAAGCAAAAGAAGCCCAGAGGAGGATGAGGAGGTGGGTAGTGGCAGAGGTTGTTGATTCTGGTTCCGATTCTGTCCATCGCTGATGTTGCAATTCGGAACAACAACAATAACAACAATAATAAGAAGAATAATAATAATCATAATAATAAGAGAGCCCACCCAGTTTGGCATCTTCTCCCTTTACTACAGAGATAGATGGATAGATAGAGCCCAATTTTTGCCATCCCCCGACGTTGTGCAATTCCAAAGTTAGGAGTCGTCGCAGTGGGGAAGTAGGGGTAGAAGTCGTGACGAGGGCGTGAACTGTGCGGGAGCCCACATCGGTTCAGGTGGTGGACCTTGAACGAGATTCCTTGCACATGCTGCTTTCGTAGCTTCGAAGCTCGTGAAGGAGGGAGAGTGTGTGTGTGTGTGTTAGAAGGTGAGAGGGAGAGAGAGAGGGAGAGAGAGAGGAAGTGAGTGAGTTGTGGGTGACTGATTTTGTGGGTTTGTTTGTTTGCTTGTCTGTTTTTTTGTTTTTTTTTTAAAATTTGAAGTTGTATATATACAGTGGGATCTACCATCTTTGGACTTAGGTGGAGTTAGCTATGGCGTGGGCAGTGCGATCGTTGCGTCGCTTGCAATCTGGTGCGGTTTCGTCTCATGCTCTGCGCTTGGTATGCAGAATTCCGAGCCTATTTTGTGTGGTTTGTCGGTACCTACTTCATGCATAAAACAAAACAAAATTTCAATGTGGATGGAACGCATATGCATGTTTCTTGTGCGGGTGTGGGCTTTCGAAGCGATACTCCCCTTAGAGGAATCGGAGGATTGGGTTTGTGTGATGGCGAGAGTTGAGCTAGGTCGTAACCCTAATTAGTCTCCAGGATTTGGTTGCTCGGATGTTCCTAGTGATGACGGATTTATGATTGCACATGTGTTTGTCTCTCTCTTACTCTCTGTCGAAGTATGTCTCGACCTCGAATTCAGCATTCTGTTATTCCTCGCAGTGTCGGTCGATTACTGGATTCCGGCATTGAGCATTTTATCTCCATTCAGAAGTTTTTTGCTAATTTCTGCGTCATATTATGCGCTCATTCTGCGGATTAAAATCTGAATTTTGCTTTATTTCGTTGGGAAGGAATTAAAAATTAGGTTGACTACATTTGAACTACTGACAGAAATTGCCAGTGCTTGAGTCCTATAAAAATTCTGTTCCCGACCTCATCTCCGACAACTGTTCAAAGATCGAAGTTTGTGACTGGTTTTAAACGGATCAGGTCTTCTTTTTCTATGTTGAATTCTAGCTATAATTAAGTCATCTGCATTGTACAGCTGGAATCGAGGTCATGGATTGGGAATTCTGGGAATGCTGGCATTTGTGCCGATCAGAACTTTGTTGCGAAGGTACGTGAAAGTTTAAGTCATTCTACGCTTTTGGCTCTTCCGAGTGATACTTCGTTCCTGCAGAGTTATTTTTCAGTTGTTAATTAAACATGATATGCATATTCATTGAAAGAAAAGACCGTCAAGGGTTATATGGCGGCAGCTGATTTTGCTATCCAGGAAGTGATTTACAACAGAAGCTTTTGGCAGACTATCTAGAAAGTTGTGCGCTCGTTTTGAAGGCATTTGACATTGAATGCTATTTTTTGAGAGCTGATTTTGCGCTTCCCACTGTCAATTTTCGTTAAGAACATAGGCACGTGTGAACCTATTGCGTGTTATTGATATATCTGTATTTTTTTTTTTAAATGTGTTTCAGCAAAATTCATTGCAAACGTTTTGGGTGATATCTGGAGCTAGCCTAAGGACACTCTCCACAGTGACCGTTGACGAATCAGCTGCTTCGACATCTCATGCGAAGGTGCCCCAAAAGCCACAGGTTACCTATTCAATCCTTAAAGCAGTGCTCAAAGAAGAAGAGGATTGTTCATTTTAAATGACGATTTCGGTATTATCGTCAGAACACCTGATTACGAAAGCGATGATGGTGTTAAAACGAATTTGTTGTTATGCATGCAGCTCTCTAAAGAGGAAAGCGGTGATGGCACCTTCTCGTTGGCTTCGAAGGGAACTCCGAGGGTGGTTTTTATCCTTGGTGAGGATTTTACAATTTTAGAAGCACATACAACATTCTCGTATAGTGAAAGCAATGGTGATTGACATCTTGTACAACGCAGTTGTCTGTCACGTTAGTTTGGTGTCCTGTCCCTACTTTGTTGCCTTTCGGTGCTTGAGAAGGGATACAAAAATTATAAGCACATTTTGAGTCCTGAATTCGCCTCTGGGCTGTTAGGGTGTCTTACATTCTATGGGTTTTTTCTTACTTTCTTCACGAAATCGTGGAATGGTTGGAAATCAGGTGGACCTGGAAGTGGGAAGGGCACACAGTGTCAAAAAATTGTAGATAAATTTGGTTTTGTGCATCTTAGTGCTGGGGACTTGCTTCGTGCAGAAATTCAATCTGGGTCTGAGTATGGGTGAGTTGCGTTATTCAAATCTCGATATATCTCGTTTTGATGACTTGAAGCTTCTCCTTCCAGTACTTTCGAACTGTTTGGTTGGTTTTCTTGTTCCTTTTACCGTTTTCCATCGTATATCATTTAATGCTGTTGTTTTGTGATTGGTTTTGTGGAGGTGGTGGCAGAGATATGATTAATGACATGATAAAAGAGGGTAAAATCGTTCCTTCCGAAGTAACTGTAAGACTCCTTTTGAAAGCGATGGAGGACAGCAAAGGCGACAAATTTCTCATCGATGGTTTTCCTCGAACTGATGAGAATAGAGCTGTCTTTGAGCGTATGGTACCTTTCCTGCTATACTTCACTGTCAATAGGGAGCATTTTCCCAATTTTGGTGGTTCTGTGTTACTTCCCGTATCATATGACAGACTATTTGCTAGTCATCTCAGCTCGAGTATGATAAGAGATTAGCCCTCTGTAAGCATCTTTGAACATGCCATCTTATCATTAAAACAGAATTGATGGATGGTCATGGTATCTGTTGTTTCAAATCGTTTCGCTTTTGATGACTGGGAACCCTGAGATGTTCAGCACGTTCAATCTACCTTTGAAATGTATGTCAGTACGTCAGCAATGCATACTCTCTTGTGCTTGTGCAGGCTGGCATTGTGCCGGAGTTCATTCTTTTCTTCGATTGTCCAGAAGATGAGATGGAGAGGCGTGTATTAGGTCGGAATCAGGTAGTGACACTAATTGTGGTAGATAAATCTAGCACAAACTCTGTGAAGTATGTAGGATGCATGTTGTGCACCTTGAGCTTGTTTTCTGCCAACATTTTTGATGTTTTGGTAGGGTAGTGCAGGAAAGCCATCATATTGGCCATTCAATAAGCTGATATAGGTCTTTCTTCGATGCTCTGTTCTCGATTCAAATTCTATTAATGGCATGTGATAGGGGCGATCGGATGACAACAAAGAGACGATGCAGAAGCGACTGAAAGTATTTGTAGATTATAGTGTGCCAGTGGTGAAATATTACGAGAATATGGGGAAAGTACATAAGGTTCTTTTTTTCTCTCTTCTTTTGATCTTGTTTTTTTGTTTTTCACACTGCATGTGAATCAGCATCTGTGTTACCGATTTTGTTACAACATGACTGGATAGCATGTGCATTTCAATCTACTTCGAGAGCCTTCCTCCTCTGATCTTGTGGCACTCTCCGAAGTTATTTTCTGCTAACATATCGCACTCACAGCTGCTTTCAGAGAATAGATTGCATTTAGTGCTGCTAGTACATCTTTGTTATTCCTCCGATTCCATTTGAGTACTGTAGAATTTTTTATTATTTTTATTTTTTTTATTTTTTTATTTTTAAATTTGATAGCGTGGAGAACATAGAAACTGTTTTGAAAGCCCATGTGTGAAGTACTCTGCAACGATGTTTTATCTAGGTTTACACGATTTTAAAAGTTCAACACTTTCTGCTTGGAGGGAAAGGATTGCACTATCATTGTAATAGAAATGAAGGCTCCGTATTAGGAGCATTCTGAAAGGTTAAGATTAAAGAGGAAAATAGAAGTGCATGTGTCTGATCGATTGTCTTGTATGATTACAGGTTACTGCAACGGGGAGTATAGACGACATTCACACCACTATTGAACCTCTTTTTGAACGATTTGCTGATGTAAGCTTTTCGTACATATCAATGGTTTTATCTGGTCACATCAATGTTTCAGGCTAAGTTGAGTATGGAGTTGCGGAAGCAAGCCTAAAAACGTTTTGCTTGTTACTTTTAAGTGTGTCTGAAGCGCATATTTTGAACATTTCTCACGGAGAGGTTGGTAATTACAGGCTCATAACACAGCTCAGACTCAATGCGTGAAAAAGCATTTGGGCGAATCACCTGCAAACAACTGACTGTCTGTGCGGTTCCATTCTGAGATCATGGTATGTCGATAACCCCGCCATAAGCACTGGAAACCGCAAGGTAGCTAAGACAGTTGTTCGTACTAGTATTTCAATGGTTAGGAACATTATATTTTACTATACCTTTATAATATTCTTGCATTCTGTTACATGTGGACTAAATTTATATACTTTCTATTTTTTGGATGAATGCGATATATACATAGCATTCAGAATAGTCGGCTAGGCTGCTCTTTCAGTCGGTTTGGTCTAGTCACCCCCTAACCTTTGGGGTCTCGTGATTTTGAATTTTAAGCAATATCATTCTCATGTTTCAGGCATGATGTTTGAAAATGCTTGAAGGCCCCTATTTTTTGTTTAGGAAATTATGTCCGCTGTGTTCGGTAACAAAATCGCTATTCCCCAAAAACATTTCACTAGCAAATCAAGTTGTTAACGAAAGTCTTTCATCCTAAGAGACTTCTTCAAATAGGCCTTCACCACGAGAACTCTGGGCGCCTATCCAAGTACAACGACCTAAATGGACTAATGGTCTCATGGCACACTATGCAGTTAACTTAGTAAATCTAGGTCGTTTATTAATCCTCACTCTTCTTTGTTGCGATGCTTGTAGGTTACCATGTACTGCTTATCTTTTTAAGAGCGGCTTCCCCATTTGGCTTGACAACAGCAACGACGTTGTAGACATCTTTTGTTGTGGGGGAATAGACATTGCAGTTGTCTACCTCCTTTTGCACAGCGGAAATCCGTGACAAAGCGAATTCCAGAAGAACCACCAGAAAAGGGCGCTCGAAGCTTCTTATGAAGCTTTCCGCCAGATTCACTTAGTAACAACATAACAGGATGGACCGGACTAGCTACTCTCTATCGCTGTTTATGCAGAGTAGTTTCTTAAGATATGTAAGATCCCTTTTGTGTTGTAGGCATTTGTGACTTATTTAAGAAGCGTTTTACTACTGTCTGGAACTTCATTTAATACATTTGTTAAGTGTAGACAATTGCTAATTCTAAGATAGCGCTTGACTTGTATTTCGTTAACAGTTCAACTCCCATCTCCTGCTTGATGAGAAACATTGTTCCAATCCATCTTCTATCAACAATAACCTCCACTGTGGGGAGGTTATTCTGAAAGCCATCACTATAGAATACTGCAAACTGAACAGGAAAACTTGATAGAAGGAAAAGGCAAGCAAACAAACGTGCATTGAATGCATGTTTTCTAACAAGTGAAATTTCCAGAGGAACCTACACTGTCCTGTTGGTCTCAAATGTTGATATACAAAGAAAGATGTAGTGAAAAAAAAAACAAATAATTTAAATGAAGAAATAAATACAATCAGATTGAAAATGTTGATATACTTTGGAAAATATGATGAAAAGTCAACCATCTTTTCACCCAGTGTATGTGACATTGTTTGATGATTTTGGTGGGTGGGGAGTTGCATGATTTAGCCCACAAGAAGGGGTAAAGATATGACAACAAGTGGGGCTGTGTCACTTCCTTCAAATCCCCTTGTGTGGCAAAATATGTGAAGATATGTGATGATCAAATCCACTAGCCACATATTTCATGTCCCATATGGCAAAACTTGTACCATTCTCCACAGTTGTACTTGAAGTCTACAGACTTCCACACTCCCACCAAGGACACACCCATGATTTATTTGTTTATTTATTTAATTGCAATGTTGGAAATGAGAAAAGATAATAAGAAGACCTGAATCTAATCACCATAATAAAGTCCACAGTTAAAAGCTCCTTGAAACCCACACGAGCTAGCCTTCCATTTTTGAAACTTGGTCTCTTCTGTGCACGAGAAAGGCCATTCAAAATAGCTTCATGAATATTCATGAAACAAACAAAGTATATATAGATATGGAAATATATACATATATATATATATATATATATATATATTTACACACACACACACACACACACACACACACAAGAAACAAGACATGGAACTTATTCTCATCTTCAGATTTTTACTCAAAAAATGACAAAAAATCATGAATATTATTATGAATGGTTTTATGTGTTTGTAATTATCTTTGTTAGAGTACTTCATTAAATGTTCTCTTAATTTATGTGCTTTTGTTGTCATCTAAATTTGAAGAATGCAAAATTCTGTCATGTTACAGTATTATTCTTCTTATAAATTGAGGAAATATGTGAAGCATACAGTGTAACTACCATGCATGTGTATTTTAAAGGTTTTGGACTTGTCTATGTCGAAGTAAGAGTCATTCTACTTTTAAATTGATCCCTAATCAATTTTCCTGTTTTTGGTTTTTGAAATTCAATGCAATCACTCAAAATTTTCAGTTCAATTCAAAACCATGTAATTTGAGAAATTAATGAACATATGTAGATTTTTTTAAAATTCTTAATTATTAAATAGATTTCATCCCTTAGGGAAAAATTAATCCATGAACAATTTCATTTCACAGGTTTAATTTTCATGCTGTGTAAGCATTTCTAAAAACTTAAAAATATAAATTTCAATATCTTATAGTGTGTGTGTGTGTGTGAAAATTATTTTGATATGCAATTTTCCATAATGAATTGTTAACTTGAAGTTGCATCAGGAACCATTATCAAATGCCATTAACAAAAATCAAGGTTTGTAACAAAGCATGCATAATTGTCTTCCATTAGCTTTTATGTAACATGTGTTCACTTCTGATATATATATATATATATATATATATATACATACATATATACATACATATGTGATCAATTATATTTAATTGAAGATATAATCTAATGAATAAAATATTTAATATCATGAATAAATGTTCTCTATTAAGTTAGATTTTTTTGGTGAGTTGTAAGGAAGGCTATTCAACCAATTAATTTAAGTTAAGTCTAAGCTACTATGAATTTGTTGTGCTATGGGGTAAAGAGTGTCCAACATGTGCTTGCCCTATAGAATGCAAAATTATTTAATTATAAAAATAGGGTTTAGCTCCCACTTGATTGTTGCCTTTGAGCCCATTGTCCAATCTCGACCCCATGTGGATGATATCCCATTGGACAACAATTATTTTTAGGTTGATTCTGGGGATGGTATTGTGGAACTCTTGGATTACTCTACATTGGGACTCTTGTTCGTATTACTTTTTCATAACAATTTTACTTTTTTCTTTTCTTTTCAATAATTTTTTCTTGGAACAAATCCTCGGCTCATTGCCAACAATTCCATGAAACATGACTTGGTCTAAACACCACACGACAAATGCCCCCATTATGGATTGCATTTTAGGTGACCATTCCATTCAGAACTGTCGAGCTCCGGCTCTTGGTTGATCATGTCCTTTGATGCTGCAAACTGCAAAATGCTTTGTATTAACCTTTTTTTTAAAGTTCTCTCAGATGTTCACAAGATGGTTTTCCATGGTTACAAAAACAAATAATAAAAGGGGCAGTATCTGTAGAAATTTTCTAAAATAAATTCCAAAACAATTAACTTAATGACCAAAGAATATATATATATATATATATATATAAGTAAGTAAAAAGAGAGAGAGAGAGAGAGAGAGATTTATAATTAGAAACTGAAGGAAAGTTAGTAAATAGATTATTACATCTAACAATGTTGTTAACTCTTATAAAAAATAGATAGCAAATTAAGAATTGATGATGAATAACCATTTAAAACTGTACATTTAATCAACAAGAGGATAATATACATTCATTTTGAATTGTGGTTATAATACAAGAGTATAAAAATATGAGTTAAATAAAGTCCTGTTGCTATGCCAAAGGAAAACAAGTTTCTAAAAGTGAAAGTTACTTGAATTCTGGTCAAGCCCTGGCACCTGCAAATGCACCCAAAAAGTTCCTGAGGCCATTAACAACTATTTCATTCAAACAACTGTATTAAAAAAAGTATTTGAAAAAGTTGCAGGCACACACATGGATGAACCTTTTTACTTTAAAGGCATGACCTCCTTTGGTCTTTGCCCTTGTTCTTCTCCTACTATTGTGAGGTTGTAATTGGATCTAATTCCTAAGCTATTCTTTCAAAGTTTATATTTATTTTATTTTATTATTTTTTTTTTTCATCTACCTAAAGAAGGCAATCTATCTACCTAGTTTCATACAAAATCTATTTACTAAGCTAACTCTTAAAGATTTGTTTAAGAAGTTTGACCAAGACCACAAATGTTTGAAAATTTTGAATTCTCATCGTAAGGATTTTGTCACAAATGCACCATAAGGTCAACTATTCTTTTTGTCTATTTTTTCCTATTAGAATGTGAATTTAATTAAATAAATAAATGAGAATTGACAAATGACATTGTGTAATTATTTAATTTTTATTGTCTCTTGTGTCAATAATTTAAATTTGTTACATAAAATAGAACTTATAGAAAAATTTATTCTGTTGGATACTTTTTCTTGTTTTTTTAGAAGATAAGTCTTTAAGTATAAAAATTTAAAGTAAAACTACAAAATTTAATACACAATAGCTATAATTTATTTCAATTTTATATTGAATCAATAAATATATTTGAAGTCAATATCAATTTCACTTTTGTATAGTAATGATGCATAACTAGGGCCATATATATATATATATATATATATATACTTAATTTTTATGACACCATATTCGTATTTACTTGTCACGTTTTTAGAAATGTGCTAGTTTTTTTCTCTCTCTCTCTCTCTCTCTCTTTTAACACAGCACGTAATGAATTTGACAAAAATAATTAGATAATATTATGTATATTATAATCTTTTCTGGATCGTTTTTCATTGTGAGTATGAACTTTTGTTTAAACAGAATAATGATGTGAACACAAGAAGAAAAATCAAGTCTATAAAATTTTGTTACAGGATATCAAAATAAACAATAAAATTTTAAAATATCTTCTTATGAAAACAGTAAGATAATATCTATTGGTATGTATATTATTGTGTCTAATTATATGTGTCAATAGTTTCAATAAATATTGATCATAAAAGTAAATTATGACTGAAAAACATATAACACATAATATTTATCACAATAAGATACCATAAAACATGATAACTGCAATAAAGAGGTCAAAGTGAACATGTGATCAAATATTAAATTGATACAAGGCAGTGCATTACGGTATATTTTATCATCACAATACGTTCTAACATACAATTTTTAAAGTACTTTGATTCATGTATTTGTGTTTCAAGAATAGTATTTTTTTTCTACAAACTTATCTAGTTGCAAATTATTCAGTAAAAAAACCTCAAAACTCGTGTTTTTATACATACCCATATACATAAATATAAAATCTAACTTACAGCTTAGATCACATCACAATATTTGGAGATGATTATATGCATTTTTACTTTCCTACAGTTTGTTTGCAAATTATTAAAATTTTGAATCTTTGCATGTAAAATACGTTTCGTAAAATATGTACCAATGTTTCATTGTTCATGTTCCAAAATTTTACTACCTAAACATGTTATCTATCTTTATTATTTTACTATTATTATTTTTATTATTATCTATACACATTTGTACATAGAGAATATAAGTGAAAGCTTCAAATTACAACACTAATTCAAAAGTGTTCTTTTCATTTCTTATTTCTTTTATTGTTCTTCAAATTCTTTGTTTTCACCTATCATATCTCAACATTTAAAAGTGAACATAATACCCCCATTGACCTAAACCCTCTTAAAATTTTCTATTTCCTGTAGTTAAATTTATTTTTTATAATTCTAATTTAAAATTTGCCTCAAAAAGTAGATAAAAGAGCTCAAATCAAAATCTATGCAAAGTAGAATTTAACACTGGAATTATAAGAGTCATAACTTTTCAATTGATTAGAAAGTCTTTTAAGACAAGGCTAATAAGAAATTATGCATATATGAAAGATCATTTCAAATATTTCTAAAATTTCTGAAATTTCAAAATTAATCCCATGTTCCTTCTAGTATCTCAAAAACCAATTATATTACATTCTGCACTACTTAATAGATAGATTTACCGATTCAATTATTAAACATCAGATTTTAACTTGTGTGTGAGCATTTA